GAACAATTTGGCTCGTTGATGCAATAGGCCTTTCTCTGACTGCGGCTGATTCGTTTTATCGTTTGATTACACTCTAGAGCGGAATTATATTTGAGACCCTTTTCTTTTAAGTGGGAATATGGGGACGTGGACGAATTGAGGTGGTTTAGTTACCTAGCTTTTGGCAGTTTGTTTTAATTTCTACCATGAACCAAATGTGAAACCCGGAGTACTTGTGGCTGACCAGAAACTAAAAGAACAAACTGATGAAAGTTGACAATAATGATCTCGTTTGGTATCAATTTTTACCTAAGCTTTATTTAACTGTTTAGAGGCCTTTACTGTTGTAGAAAATAGCTGATTTGATAAGTTGTGTTACTTCATAACATCTCATATTTGATTTTCGTCCGGCATTTAAGTTGGAGGCCCAGACACAATTTTGCTGTCAGTATAGGCTACTAATTTGAGTATTATTTTTAGGATTTCCTGCCTTAAGTGTTTATGTTTTGTCGATACACAGGTCCGAATTGTTGCAGTTCAAGCTCTTACTACGATAGCCATTAGATCTGGTGAACCTTTCAGGCTGCAGATATACGAGTTTTTGCACACCTTGGCGGAGGGTGGTGTACAGTCTCAACTTTCTGAAATGCACCTGAGTAATGGAGAAGACCAAGGAGTTAGTGGTACAGGACTTGGAGTTTTAATAACTCCGATGTTAAAAGTTCTGGATGAAATGTATGTAGGACAAGACGAATTAATCAAGTAAGGAAGAATGTGATCCTTTTCCCTGTAATTCATGCATGTAACCTGTATATGATCTTATGGTTGAATGTTTTTTCCTTGATAAGGGATATACGCGATCATGATAATGCAAACAAAGAATGGAAGGACGAGGAGCTGAAAAAACTCTACGAAACCCATGAGAGACTGCTAGATTTTGTTTCCTTGTTTTGCTATATTCCAAGAGCCAAGTATTTACCCCTGGGTCCGATAAGGTACATTCTAAATTCTGATTCCATTTTTTCGTTGAGTGACAGACTAGCAAATTCTAGTGCATTGTGCTTTGGATACAAATCTTGTGTAGAACACAATCAGGCAATAATAGGACAACAGGAAACCTTTTTTATTATTTCCGAGAGACTTCTTGCGTTAGCTTTTTATGTCGTATACCTATCTAGTTTAATAGGATTTCGACATTACAAGAATGTGAATAACCTCAGTCCTAACAGAAAAAAAACAAGGAAGTCTGACAAAATTTGAGAATCCTGTTTAATATATTAAGTTTGCTTACCTTGATCTCGACCTTTCTTGTATGCATTGCATGCTTGTGTCCTTTTTACGGTTTTCTTTATATTTGTTAGGTGCTTTTCTGTCTCTGTTTCCGTTTTATAATAGAAAACTGACCTGTATTATATTCTTTTTCCTCCTAATCTATGAAGTGCAAAGCTCATTGACACATACCGCACAAAGCATAATATTACGGCATCTTCTGGGACAACCGATCCAACTGTTGTTGCTACCGGTATTTCAGACTTGATTTATGAATCCACTCAGCCTGCCCCTGCTGCCTCAAACTCCAGTGGTCTGGATGATGACCTGGTGAATGCTTGGGCTGCGAACCTTGGTGATGATGGTCTTCTTGGAAACAACGCCCCAGCAATGAGCAGGGTCAGTTGCCTATCTTGATCTAGCTTTTTAAAATATATGATTAGTGTGCGTGTATATATATATTCGTCGTATTGTTAAATGAAGGATGTGGCACAATAAATTTATGATCAGGAAATCATAAGGTGTCAGTGATGCATACTTTTCGGACTACTCTTACTGTCTGAGAAGTTTGTGTATTGACATTCCGCTTAAATATAGATGGAAAATCAGCTTGGATTCACATGAGCAGTAGTTAACCATTCATATAATAATCTGGTCATGTGAAATTAGAATCTGTCAGTGCTCATTCGTGTATAATCTGGTCATAATACCTATTTTTTTTGTCTCCAAATAAATCTCAGATCTGTATAATACTTGCCAGGTCAATGAATTCATTGCCGGAGTTGGAACAGATGCACCAGATGTTGATGAGGAGAATATCTTCTCCAGACCTTCGGTTGGCTATGATGACATGTGGGCTAAGACTCTTTTAGAAACCAACGAACTGGAGGTATACAGTTAGCTTTATCCATCTTTAAGGGCTTTCGTCAAAAGGACTGGAAGAAGATATTTCTTAGTTTTAGGGATTCTAAAAACGTCTTTCATTTGTATTTACAGGAAGAAGATGCGAGATCAGGTTCATCTTCTCCAGACTCTGCTGGATCAGTGGAAAGCTCTATATCTTCTCACTTTGGTGGAATGAATTACCCATCCTTGTTCAGTTCAAAGCCTTCTTCACAAGCAACGGTAAGTTAGACCCCAATTTCTTCCTATAATTCCCGTCCTTACCACCCCAATATGCTATTTGTGACAATCACGGGCCATAGCTTTCCTGTAACTATATAATGATATTATGTCCTTAAGCTCCCAAGTCTGAGTCGTTATGAAAACAATTTCCTTGAGTTGCATAGAATGTGACTGCTAAATACGTTTCTTATTGACGAAGTATAAACGTCTGTAAAAGTGTTCTTACTAAACAATAGTAACTGGAGATAATGATATGCGTGCAAGTTGTGTCTTAAAAGGAAAAGGCAGTCATAGCGTTTAGCATAAAGAAGTTCAACATGATCATAAGAACTTTTGTATTATATGTGCCTGTATAGGATGCAATACAGCGATCAGCTAATTTTCACTTATATAAATATGCAAATTGATATAGGCAAAATCGAGTGGAAGCAAATACCAGTCCACATATGAAGGCTATGGTTCCCCGGTAAGCTGATATTCGTTTCTGTATTTGTTTGTATGTATGTATGTATATGCGCTGACATGGGCTGATGATTACTAAATTCTCCTTTCTACTCTCCTTTTTCAGATTAGAGAAGAACCTCCTCCGCCTTACTCATATTCTGAGCCACAAAGTCGTGAATCGTTTGAGAACCCTATGGCAGGTTCAGGTTCTCGAAGTTACGAATCAGATGAGGATGAACCTAGGAAATCTACTGGTACAAGATTCGGAACAGCGCTCTATGACTTCACCGCAGGAGGAGATGATGAGGTAAGCTTTTGCTTCTTTTTTCCGTTCTTCCTTGGGGTTCAATTGTTATCCACTACTTATTGCCTATACAGTAATCTTGTTACTGGAAAAAGTCTGGTATGATTCAAGCGTCATTTGGGTTTTGTTTCAGCTAAACTTGACGGCAGAAGAGGAACTGGAGATAGAATATGAAGTTGATGGCTGGTTTTACGTAAGTTTAGATAGACAAACGCAGGAGTCTTTTGTGAGGAGTAGGGCTTTTTTGAAAAAAAAAAAAACTTACTCAAACTATGATGACAGGTAAAGAAGAAGCGGCCTGGTAGAGACGGGAAGATGGCGGGACTTGTACCCGTTCTTTACGTCAACCAATCTTAATTTTTTGTTGAAGGAGAAGGTTTAAGATGCTGAGAAAATTCTAGTCCATGATTATTTCGAGAGGTATCAGTGTACATGATTGAATGTTCATTGTTGGAGTTTTGATATATGTGTGTGTATCATTTTTCACATCGATTGTTCCATATGCTTTTAGTTTGTGAGCTAAGTTTTTAGTTTCTTCTTACTAATCAGAATATTATTTGAGTTTTTAATATTGTTAGATTTAAATACTTTTATCAAAAAAAAAAAAAAAGGAGAATTTCAATTATACCATTTTGGTGGTACCACTTTTCATGTTTACCATCAACAAAGAAACATTTTCAAAAATACACATTTTATTAAAGGATAAAAGACTATTATATCCTTGTTCTTTATATATATACATAAAATAAATATTAAATAAAATATTAATCCTAAACTCTAAAATCAATTCTAAACCCTAAAAATCAATCCTAAACCCTAAAATATCAATTCTAAACCTTAAACCCTAAACTCTAAATCCTAAAAAGTAAATCCTAAACCTTAAAAAATCAACACTAAACCCTAAACTATCAATCATAAACTCTAAACCCTAAATTCTAATAGTATTTTGACTATTAAAATTTTAATGGTAAAGTTGGTTAGTGTAAAGTTGAAAAATGGTATTTGATAGTGTTATTTCTGGCAATTTCAGAAAAAAAAAAAAGTCAATTCGATCAATTGAAATGGTCACACTCATGAATATAGAGTTGCAGAAATTCAGTCATGAAATAAAACAGTTGGTTCGTTTAGTACACATTAACTGAATCATGAAATTGATATACGTGGACTCTCTTGTCACTTTCAAACCATAAACTTTGTATACCAGCGAGCTTTATTGGGTTTAACTTTTATATACCTTCACAATATTAGATAATCTTGCATTGGCTTAATCTAATGTCTTGTCGCAATAGACTACTTTATATACCCTCCAAGTGTTGAGAACTTGCCAAAATAACCCCACACATGTTTTTATTTTGTTCAATTAATGGGTTGATCAGTTGATGTATATCTTCTCGTTCAAAAAGTTGGTTTTATATCCAAGTAAACGCATTTGTTTGAATGAGAGAAATACAAAATTTGGTTCAGTTTCACTTATATTACAGCCTCCAAATGTTGACAAAACAATAGTTCAAGTGGATGTTGAACTGATGATAATGACCAACCCAAAAGCCTCCAAATGTTGAAAAAAAAAACTCTCTTCAATTCAACAAAATGATAAAAAAAGAGTAATGGGTCTTATTGTGAGTTAATGATTAACGCTTATCGAAAAACTCCCTAAAGTCGAATGAAATGTAACTATAAAACTGGTGACACGACACCAAATGGTTTAGGTGGTATCCATGATAAAAAAAAAAAAAAGAAAATAGTTGGCGCTAATCCAAACAACGCATGCTTCAAACCAAAGTGGTTTGACTTTACTAAACACAACATCTCATCACTGACTCAACTAAACCCCATAAAGCTTATAAATAGTGACCGGAACAAACTTGTAGACCAGCAAATGTCCCAAATGGAACCAAAAGAAACAGAGACACCATCTCGAAAACAACTTAGACAGCCTCCTTCTGTGCCTTTTGTTTGGGAAGAACGTCCTGGCTTCCCGAAGAAGAACTGGCAACCTTCACTAGCCACCTTTGTGCCTTCTCCTCCTCCTCTTCCTCCCCCTATACCAGTCCCGGTTAAGCTGGTCACTTCGGTTCCGTTCCGTTGGGAAGATACCCCTGGTAAACCGGTCTCTACTTCCACAAACGACTCACCAAAGCTTCCACAGCCACCTTCAGAAACCATCATGACTCCTCCTCCATTACCACCTCCGGTTCCAGTTCCGGTTAAGCTGGTCACATCGGTTCCATTCGACTGGGAAGAAACTCCTGGACAACCATACCCTTGCTTTGTTGATTTCAACCCACCTGACACGTTGGATCAGCCTCTACCACCACCTCCCATGTATGGTGGTGGTGAGGTTGAAACCAGCAGCGATACTTACGACGACGCAAGCAGTGACTCCTTCAGCTCTGTACCCATATCAGGTGCTATTGACAACCTGACGAGCTCGATACCAACATCGCCAGCTTATGAATCTGATGACAGTACGAGCAGTTACATGACAGGAGCTTCCAGCCTCGTTGGAGCTTCCTTCTTGGAAAAGCTCTTTCCACGTCTTCTCCCACAGGAAAAGGTCGAAGCTATTGGTTCTGAGGATGTTCAGGATTCTACTCGTCCATTGCATGAAGACGTGAAGCTTACTACAGATTCTGATAACATGAAGATTGGCTTTCCTGTGAAGATACCGCAGACACTCGGGGAGCTGATAATGCTGAGTAGAAAGAGAAGCTATATGAGAAGAGCTGTTGCAATGAGAAAACACAATCCTTCCATGGTATAAGTCGTAGATAAATACAATATATTATTCTGGAATGTTGACACTTGTCTGGATAAACTAGCAGGAATTTACAAAAAGTGGAGCTGAGGGATTCAGCATCCAAAATGATACAAGGACGTGAGTGGAAAAAATACCAACAAAGGCTGAAGCTTGTTTAGAAGAAAACTCTTCTTAAACTGAAGACAACGTTTGTTCTGTGAAAACTTGTATTGTACAAATAGATGTGAGATTGACTTCCCAAACTCTTTTCTAATGGAAAAACCATTCTTGTTATCATATTTGTACTTCTAACAACTGTCCCAAAAGAATGTCCATGGACAAATTAACAATGGCTCACCAACCCAAAACCTGGTTTTGGCCTCCAGATGTGGACGACTCAGAAAGCAGTCTGATCCGTTCCATGATCAGCTGTGATGTCTTCTTCATCAGCTAAAGCTGTAAAACAAGACCTGAACCAACCCGGTTCTATACAATAACAAGTTGTTCTTAACATCAACGAAGGTTTTTTCCCTTCTAAAAAAACATGAATCAAAACACTCTTCAAAGCATGAAAGTATTTAAAACAACAGTACAATAAGCATTTTATAAGTACATATTGTATTTTGACCCAAAAAAAAAATCAGTACATATTGTATATCCATCAATGAAATGTTCCATATCATTCTAATACGAAAGCTGAAAAGATTAAAAAACTTCATATTGAAAAATCACATGAATATATATCAGACCGCTTGATCGCTGCTGCTGTGCCAACCTTTAGTGCAAGGAGGTATTTCCATGAACTCGTCAAACTCCTTCACGTGAACATCGCAGCATTTCCACTGCACGAAGACAGAAATAAAAAAAAAGCATGATAAAGAAGTTAAAAGAAAAGAGTGTTTTGAGCAAAAGACGCACTAACCCCTCTCAGTCTGTCGTGGAAGACCGCAGGACCTGGATGATAGCTACAAGCAGCCTCGTGATTGTCTCTCTCTTTGAATGTTTTGCCACATCCTTTGTTTTTGCAGACTTGCGGTTGATTAATGTCAATAACAACCTTTTTAATGGGAGGTGGTGGTGCTAAGGTCTGAATCTCTTCTCCTTGCGCTTGTACTGGCGTGTTCAGGCCCTGCCTGATCTGTTCTTTGGGTTGGGAGCCTGTGTGGTTTAGGACACAACATTAAAGAGAGACTCCTTGCATTCAACGAAAATAGGAGAGGGTGAAGATACAAAACCATGGTCAGAGCAGAAGAAGCCTTGGCGGCACCTAGAGCAAGAGTCTTTTGTTGCAGCATTGGCAACTGGAGATGAAGTAGGAACCGTGATAGGCTGTCTTGGAGCAGGTTTGGCAAGAACTGGTTTCTCAGTTGTGTGCTTACCTTTCTTACATCTTCATTGCAAGATTAAACAAAAAAAAGAGTATCAGTATCTGTCTGCGATCAATCACAACACGAAAACGAGGGTTGTGTTGGTATGATAGTTATTACCCTGGGATTTCCAAGAACAAAGTGAAATCATGGCTTCTTTGCTTGCAGCAGCTCCACTCTTTCATTCCGTCGTGAAAAAATGGCTGCATGTATGAGAGCATGTCTCTCTCATGAGATGAGTGGGAAGCGAGAACAAACAAACAAATAAACCTAACAGATGTGTATCTAAAGAGTAAAATTATTTGACTTACCCCCTGCTTGAACAAAAGCCATTCCAGTTAGAGTAGAAAGTGAAAAGCCAAGCCCCGGAAAAGAGTGGTAAATAGAGATAATTAATATGTAAAGATGCATTCTTCTATGGACAGAGAATCAATTAAAGAAGACTTACAGAAGCATGAAACTGACAAGAACCGTCCGAGTTGTCATCATGGGTGAACATGGCGTTGCAGCCAATACGTTGGCACCGAAGCTTCGTTGCAGATCCTACTTCCATCTGAAGATATGATGATCTCGTCAAAATTAGGACTCTCCGATTCACACTTACTTGTTGTTCCCTATTACTTAAACTTGAAGCAAGAGGATCTTACCGGAGATATATACCCTCCTCTCCTCTCCTCTCCTCGCCGTTGCTGTTTTGCTTCTTTTAAAAAAAAAAAAATACAGAAAAATTTAGATCAATACATCAAATTCAATATAGTTAGAGCTCGAAGACTACCTTGATGAGTGACTTAAAAGTCGCGACAAACTGATTTTGCAGCTATCGTCTTCGCCACACCGGGTTTGGAGAATCAAGGCGCAGCCAAGGAGAAGAGAAGAGAAAAGAAGAGACGTAATGGGCCTCGAACTGGGCTTTACGCTTTTTTTTTTTGTATTTTTCTTCTTACCAACAATCTCGAGTTTTTAACTTTCTTACACAAGACAAGACCAGTTAAGATTTACAGGAGAATGCAAGAAGTTATATGTTCCATTAAGCCAGAAAGAAAAGTAAAGTTGAGATACAAATTAATGACCTAATCCTACCTATTTATGGTTTACTAAAAAAATTAGGAAGAGAATATATAGAATTATGTTAAATTCATAGAGATTATGAGATATCTATCTATATTTTAGATGATGCTAATGTGTAATTTTATGAGTGTTTTAAAGAGATTAAGATTTTGAATTTTTTTTAAGAGATTAATAAAAGAGTTATACTTACTATTGAGTTTTTATCCTTGTGTTCGTGAGACTTGATTTCTATATTTAGTATCAAAGCCAAAACGATATCATGAGTGATACTGTACCTGCAACCGAAAAAAACGAGAGACAACGATCTAATGTCCTATGTTTAGTTCGACGGAGTTTAACTCTATATGTTCTCATGGGAGAAAAATATTCTTCGCATCCCTTCTCTATTCTCATTACCCTTTTGTGGACCTTACTAACATTGCAAATACCAAATTATTCTCTCTTTTCTTTAATATATTTTTTCCACCTCATTTCTCTCATTTATTTTTTTCACTTTAATAAACCAATAACCTTAACCAATAAGAAGACATATGGCTAACATGTTTTCATTTTCTGTTCTTCTCTCCGCGTGAAGTTCTTTTCTTCATTCTCTATTGGCAATTTTGAAGTTTCAAAAACATGTAATTCTTGTCTGTTTTTGATGATTTTTTTTTGTGGAATATCATTTAAATGTTTTTTATATCATGGGTATTGTAAAAAAAGTAAGAATTGATGAAAGTTTTGAGAGATTAGAAATATTTAAAAAACTGTATATTTTATGTTCGTTTTGATGATTTTTTTTTTGCTGGAATACTATTAAAAATAAGTATATATCTCGACTAGTGTAAAAAAGGAAGACTGGATGAAATTTTTAAGAGATTCAAATAGATTTTGAAAACTGCGGCTATGGGTTTATGGTATATTTTAAGTTCATTTTAGATGACTTTTTTGTGTGTAATTTCATTAAGATGAATTATATATCCTAGGTAATGCAAAATCTGAACAAAATCAGACTAAAAACATGATTAGTTACTACAAGGATAATTTTTGGATATTACTAAGATAATTCGTTTTACTAAAGATAAATGGTATTACTGATATAACGTGTATTACTATGTTTACAAATATTACTAGTTTTACTAAGTATAGTATTGAAACAAATTAGTATTAGTAAGAGAACAATGTACAGTGTGGAAATTAAATTTAAGCTTCTTAATAATGCTAATTGTAATATACTTCCTTTTTATTTCATGAAAATGCAAAATCTTTGTTGCACAATCATTTGTTTTGATTATCGAGGATATTATATGAATAATGGGGCTGAAATGAAATGGATTTTAGGAGATGGTGAAGGGGAAGATGAAACTCACACTATTGTGTTGAAGAAATCAGTGGAGGAGATCACATACTCTGTTTTGGTTTAGCGTATTTGCAGAAAGATAAAGGTAGATATATATAAGATGGAAGCGAAGATCAGTTACTTTCTAGTGGTAATGTATTCGAACAAGCCATTATATATCTGGGATGGTGAAGACGTTTTTGGTTATCTAATGCAAGTAAATCAAGAAAATTGTAGAAGTATTCTACATGTGGAGTTCAACAAAACGGATGATGACTGATTTCTATGGCGGCCTATCGGGTAGAGAGGCTACTAATAGAGAAGTTATTGATACAGAGGCTACTGATACAAAGGCTATTCATACAGAGGCTGGTGATGAAGATGGTACTGAGAAGGATGCAACTGATAATGAAGGTACTAGTAGTGTGCTCACATTTTACGAAGACATTGAGATGCATGAGAATGTGACCGAAAGAGAAGTAGGACCATCAGTTGAAGTCTCACCAGTAGTCCATATGGAGCAGGATAATGATATGCATCAGGTTTTAGGTCAAAATTTATAACCAAGTAGCTAGTAAGCGAAAACTCATATTCAGACGGCTTCACATCTGAAGTGTTTTGAGTATGAGGTAATTAAGGCGGATACTAAGAGATATGTGATAAAATGCCGAGGAGCCAAAGAATGCTGCAAGTGGTGTGTGCGTGTTACAAAGTTAATGAATTCAGATCTTTGGACGGTTAGAACTTACATCAAGCAGCATAGATGTTTTGTTGTTATCACAAAAACACTGCCTAATAGAAGGAGAGGCACATCACAAATTGTTGCATCTGTTTTAGCCCAAGATTATCCTGGCAATTTTGACACACCACGTCCCAAAGCTCTGATCAAGTTGGTTCATCACAGGGTTACTGTGGATGTAGCATACACAACGACAAATAAAGGAAAAAGACAAGCTGCTAATAAAGTGTGCATAACACGAGTTATTCTTTATTATATTGTTATATACGCACATGCTGGAGCAGATGGATCCTGACACAATAACTCGTGTGGTTGTGGATGAGGGCAAAATGATTTAAGTATCTGTTTTGGGCTTCGGGAGATAACATAGAAGGATTTTGCGCAATGAGAAAAGTCCTCATTGTGGATGCAACACACCTGGAGACTGTTTATGGTGGAGTGTTACTTGTTGTGACTACTCAAGATCCCAATCATCACCCCTACCCAATTTCGTTTGGTGTTGCAGATGGTAAAAAATATGAGAGTTGGCTATGATTTATGGAACAATTGAAATTAGTGATATCCGATGTCCCTGGATTGGTGTTTCTTTCGAACATAAAAAAGCTTGACAAGGCAGTACGTCTAATGTCCCCTCAGGCCGCTCATGGGTATTGTATATGGCATTTGTCTCAAAATGTTAAAGGTTACGTCCGCAACAACATAGATACATGTACATTTAAGTTTATGGAGTGTGCACACACTTATACAAATCTGAGTTCTTAATCCTTTATCACTCTTTTTGCAGGAAATATCCTAGTGTAGAAGAGTATCTTAACAAAAGTTGTGAACAAAAGAAATGGACTAGATGTACTTTGAAGAAGATAGGTACAATGTTGACACCACCAATTCAGCAGAACTTTTTAACGGTGTTATTAAGGACGAAAGAAAGTTCACCGTACTTCTGATGTTTGATTTTATCATTGGAAAATTTTCTGAATGGTTTAACCCGCACATGAAGGAGGCAGCTGAAATGCCACCCACACTAAAGCTTGTGCTTATTGTGGATAAGAAAATGTCTACAAGATGTGTTAATGCAGGGTTTCTTACTGTTGAAGAGTTAAAGAGCTTCCATCTTGAGTACAGTGTGCATGGTAGTGACGGGAAGCGTTACACCATGGACATGGCTATGAACACGTGCACCTGTGAGCAATTTGATAAAGACAAATGTCTATGTGTTCATGCAGTAGGTGCTGCCACATTCATGACTGATAAAGTGGGAAGGAAACTCCGTCTATCTAAGTAGTGTTCTAAGTACTATTTGGTGGAGCAATGAGCTTTGGATTATCACGTGACAATATATCATGTTCCTCATATGTCTGATTGGGTTATACCAGAAGAAGTTAGAGCAACGAAAATACTTCCTCCAGAATTTGAAGTCAAGAAAGAAAAACCGCAACAAACATGGTTTTCATCAGCAGGAGAATCTTGTGGAAGAGGAAAAAAAAAGCAAAGGGAGAGCCACATCCACAGGGAGAGCCAGAGGGATATGTATGGCAGCGTATTTTGAATGTGGAAGTGGTTCAGGTTCAGGTCAGGTGTTTGATTGTTGAAAATTGTTTCTTTGTGTTATTCGAATTACTGGCATTATTATGTGATTTTTAGACTACTAGGATTACTAGTTTTATTATTTGAACTACTGGTATTATTAGTATTACTATGTGTTATTTGGACTACATATATATTAGTGGGAGTATTTATGTTTAGTATGTAGAATCGATATGTATTTCATGGTTATTATCAATTTGTATGTTATTTACTTAATAAATATGTATATTAAGACTATTTTTATGATTATTTCAATTGTTTAAGAAAAACCTATTCAATTTCCAAAAAACTCTTTTAACTTTCATTATTAGTGTGTAGATGGTTAGACCATAGTAAGAAAAAACTAAAAAAATACGTATTTTTGGCAAATTATTAATGAAAATGTCTTCTGTAAAATAATATAGTGTAAAAGCATTGGTTTTACTAGAAAAATCTCATTTTCTAATGGTTTTACTAGATAAACCTAAAATTTGTCAACAAATGTATTATGTGTAAGGTAGTATTACTAAGTCCTTGTAGATTACCAAGAATTATTATGTGTATTCCAAATATTATATTTATGTATATAACGGCTGCACGTTTTACATGTTCCCTTTTTAAATTATTATGTAATTCACGTTTAACATGTGTATTTTACATGAGCAACTTTTTAATTTTTAACAAGTGGTTTTTAGACTTAGTAAACCTAATAGTAAAACCAGTTTTCCATTTAACTCATTTTTGGACCTAAGTTAACTTGTAAATAAAGTTATTCACACCTATTTTCCAACACATACCAACTAATTTACTTAAGTTTCTAACAAGTAACATCCAAAAGCAGAAATATAACATCCAAAAAACATAC